ATTCATTTGGGAGTTGTGGTGGACCAAGTGCACGAGGTATACGAATTCTCGCAGGATAGCTATCTTCAACCGTTTATTCACGAAAACATCAAAGCACGTCGCGAAGCTATCGATAAAGCTCAGCAGCTCTGCTTCAAGACCCTTTCCAACAGCGTGTTTGCCCGTACCAACGACAGAGCACAACAGCAACAGGTACAACAACAACAACAAAATCGACGACGACGACCGCGACAGGAAAGTAAATCCAAACTGGCAACTCGCAAACGGAGGAAAACATCGGCGGGAACTCCGTTCATTCTCTGTGAAGCGAAGGAAAACAACACCAGCGATGACGACGACGACGATATAATATAACATTGGCAACTCGCCAACGGAGGAAAATCCATTCATTCTCTGCGGCGTTGTCAATGATGTAATATAAATTGTTGATTTAGTTATATATCATTTTGTATATTGTATATTTTGTTGTATATTATAAGATCCAACTTTTATTATGTATTTCTGTTTGTACAAATGTTCTGAATAAAAGAGACCTAACTGGTGATCTATACAACAGTTTTATATTAGACCTTCACCATGGAACACGTGTCTCCCTATCCCTGCTTTAAGGGTCATATGCTCGACCTGTTTGCACACCCTGCCAGGTTGATAATTGCGGGTGTTACCAATTCCGGCAAGACATATTTAACCATAAAAATTGTTGTACATTACCAAGACCAATTTGATTATATAATTCTGTGCGGGAGTGAATCTCATCCCCTTGAAAAGGAAACCTCTTTATCTGGAAAACTCATTGTTAGTAAAGATATTATAGACCCAACCGAACACAAGACAAATCCGAGTGATCGCGATTTCGTTGGCTTCTTGTTGATAAGCTTGATCCGGCTGATTAGCTAGAAAGGCTTGATATGTGTCCCACAACGACGAGATGATGTCGTGTTTGTACTGCGCGCGGTAAAACCGCACCACCTCCTTTCGCAGTTCAACCTCGAGCGATCGCGATGATGCATCGTTGCCGCATGCATTGGTTGCGCTGTTGGTACTGTCGCCGTCCCGCGAAGATGCGACGTTGTTAATAAATTCGTCGTTCATGCTTGTACACCCGGTATTACTCGACTGGTACATGTATCGATCGATTGTGATTTGCGAAGTTCTAGCTTCGCCCGGGCCTTCGGCTATGGCCCGGCCTGTGTCAGCTTATTAGGGCTGACTCATTTCGATCTATGGCTCGGTGCTTACCGTGGTGGGGATTGCCAGCAGGCGCTCCTGCTGCCACGGGGTAAGCGAATCGCAAAGTCTCTTTACCAGCACGGCGGCTGTTGTCGGGGGTCCCTGTCTCAGGAATTGTGTGTGTACACAATTCTCTAAGTAATGTATAAGTGTGGCGTTCGGCTCGCCGCAATGTATGCAACACCTCTCTTCATGGACAATGGTCTCAATTATCTGCCATTTACAGTGGTAACCTAGGCGCATTCTGTGGAGAATGACTTCGGTTTGTCTGTCTTTTAGTTCAGAGAGTGCCAGAGGTTCATAGCCCGTTGCTTCTGAATACCATCTGGCCGAGGGGGGAGGATCTCGTTGCCTCTCTGTGAAGCTGCAGGAGGAAGGAGTTGGCGACATCAGTACTCTTCATCCGAAGTAAATTACGGCTAGGTGCAATGATCATGGGACTAGGGGGCATACCCCTGCCAGAGACTGCTAGTCTGTCAGCAAGTTCGTTCCCTCTGATGCCAATGTGGCTAGGGACCCAATTAATGATGATTCTTCTACCCTGAGCCAGTATTCTTTGGGCTACTGTTAATATTGTGGTCAGGAGGTAGATACTGTCTTTGGGTGAGCTGAGCTACATGTATCGAAAAGGCTCCCGTTTATATCCTGGGATATTAATAAGGGTCCCAACGCATCTTTTTCTGTGCAGGTTTCAAGACATCTGCAGGTGGTAATTTCATGTTCCTGCCTGCTTTACGAGTCCCTCCCGCGAGAAATCGCCGAGCAGTTGGATTACGCACGTACTCAAGGGGTATGGGGGCAAAGTTGTGCAATAATCTTAACAATTCCTTTTCTCCGAGAGAAAACGTGGTCGATGAAGATGCCATATACTTAATAACATCGAGTATATTCAACCCCGAAAATGGTGCTTGTATCTGCCCGAGCTCGTCCCAACGGATCTGAGGTTGTTGCCGATAAAACTCCAAGAGAGAATTAGCATAATCCTGTTGAGAGGCTTTGAAAAAAATACCCGCCAAGTGTTCTAGCGAAGGATTTGACAATTTAGTTTGAGCGCTCTTGACAGGCAGTCTTTGCAGAACCGCAGATGGAAGAGACACTGTTGTTGTTGTGCCGCGATCGCATTTGCTGTTGCAGTGTTTATCCTTCTTCCTCGCTTTTCCCTTGCGCGGGTTCCTGCGAGCGCGACCCCCGCCCGCGCCGCCCGCACCCCGCCGCCCGCGCCGCCGCGACCGCACGCACCGCAGCAGGGTATGCTTTCGCTTTTTCCCGCGTGACCTCGTCTTACTAACGTCTTCTTGGGCGTTGGTTTCTTCATATTCGGCAATGCTTCTGATATGACTTTGCTGCCATCACTATCATTAATAGTAATGCGTTCAGCAGATGCCAGATGTCGGTCGACTACAGACTTTGGTACCAGGCAAAATTCTTTCATTTCCTTCGTGTTAAATGAGGGCCGAGAACGCGTTTACAGCGAGCGGGAGCAGCATAGAGAGAATATTCTCGCCTGTGCGCGATGAGAGAATTTTCTTTTTCTTTTTGAGCGATGTTCTTTTAAGGGATACTGTCTTAATTGCCTCTCGATATCTCTTTAGCTTTTTTTATGATATTCCTCTCTGTTAAGTTTTTCTTTAAAAAGTTTGAAAACACTTCGCCTATGCAACCAATTTGTTCTTTATTTAATTGCAAAATAAAGTCAGAGCGTCGTTTTGCTTTCAGCGAACAAATAAGTTTTAACACATCGATGTGATGCGACGTAAGGGACTGCTTTGTCATGATACGGGGTGCATGTCATCAGCTGTAATGTAAGAATTAAATTTGTCCGGATAACCGATCCAGTGAACGAGATACTCTCTTTGCCTCTTGGTTTTGTTCCAACGCGATGATAAAATCTTGTACGGATAAGAGTTCGGCAGCGCGGTGGGAATGAGCTCCTCGCGGTAAAACAAACCTTGTATCGCTTCACCACTCAGATCTTCAAGATAATACCCGATTAAGTTTTGTCGACGATCAATCTGTCGGATTTTAAATATCTCCTCTGTATTTTGTATTTCGTAACCTTTGCGAAATACGTCGGTGCGGGAACGCGCAGAGATGCGCACGGTATCCCCTACTTTTAGGTTCTGATTGCATGCTGATGAACGTCCTTTTTTTATAGATCCGGACAGCGACGGGGCGTACATTTGCCGAAAGAGTTGTTGCCACTGCGATGTGGTATAATGACGATGCACCTCCATAGGTGATGCACCTTTCAAACCCGCGTGCGCGCGTTCGTTGTAGGCCGATACGATGTCTTGGAGTGCATCGACGTAGCGCAGTGTATTTTTAAGGGTTAGGTACTTATAAATGAGTCCTTTAAGGGTTCTTATATGTCTTTCGGCAATGCTCGCCTTTATTTCTTTAGAGTGCGTCGTATACCAGCGCATACTTCGTTCGCGGAGTAATGCATTCACCGCATTATTTACAAATTCCCGCCCTGCGTCAGTGAACAGGTGAGTTAAACCTCTAGCATCGTCGGTATCCACCACAGATTGAAGTGCTCGTGCTACTTCCGTTTTATTTTTACTTCTTAGCGTTCTTACTTGCATGTAACGACTAAACACGTCCACGCAAACCAATAAATACGCTGTCTTATCATTTTGTTTTGATAAATTGCGCATATCTGCCAGATCACATGTTCAGATTTTGCGAGGACGCGTGGCCATTGTTTGACGTCGCGGAATTTTTTTGCGCGTCTGTTGATAAATATTCTTTCACGTCTGACACTGAAATATTATTCTTTCCCAGACGCTTACGCGCGGCATTTAAAAGCGATTGTATGCTATCCAACCCATGGGGTTGTTTATAGTCTTCATACAAGTCCTTTAGGACTTGCTTCGTATTGTAGTGGATTACCATTGATAAACAATTTGATATGGATAATATTCGCAGAGGATATTACTGCGAAACTGAAGCTTTTCAGGAGTTTCGCATCCGAGGTCTATCAGTAAATAGCTGCGAGGTCTTGAAGGAACAGCTCTTTTATACAAGTCTAGAAATCGCTTGGCTTCGCTCTTACCGTAAATCTGTCTGCCCAGGCATTCAATTTGCCAGAGATCTCTCTGTTTTAATAATATAAAATGAGAGGTGTTTAGCGAAATGTTTCGACTGTGTTTCCCATTCATAAACACGTTTTGAACCACCAGTATAACCGAAACGTTTTCGTGGCGACCCTTTGTAAATGCATTGCACACTGGTTGTTAGCTGCTTCTACAAAACAATCGTCTAGTATATATAAAATGCGATCGCTCGGATTTGTCTTGTGTTCGGTTGGGTCTATAATATCTTTACTAACAATGAGTTTTCCAGATAAAGAGGTTTCCTTTTCAAGGGGGTGAGATTCACTCCCGCACAGAATTATATAATCAAATTGGTCTTGGTAATGTACAACAATTTTTGTGGTTAAATATGTCTTGCCGGAATTGGTAACACCCGCAATTATCAACCTGGCTGGGTGTGCAAACAGGTTGAGCATATGACCCTTAAAGCAGGGATAGGGAGACACGTGTTCCATGGTGAAGGTCTAATATAAAACTGTTGTATAGATCGCCAGTTAGGGCTCTTTTATTCAAAACATTTGTACAAACAGAAATACATAATAAAAGTTGGATCTTATAATACACAACAAAATATACAATATACAAAATGATATATATATATAACTAAATTATATTACATCATTGACAACACCGCAGAGAATGAATGGATTTTCCTCCGTTGGCGAGTTGCCAATGTTATATTATATCGTCGTCGTCGTCATCGCTGGTGTTGTTTTCCCTCGCTTCACAGAGAATGAACGGAGTTCCCGCCGATGTTTTCCTCCGTTTGCGAGTTGCCAGTTTGGATTTACTTTCCTGTTGCGGTCGCCGTCGTTGATTTTGTTGTTGTAACTGTTGCTGCTGTGCTCTGCCGTTAGTACGGTCAAGACACGGAAAATGCGTGGAGAGATGTTGTCGTCTCCTCCACAAGTTATATGTTCGTGCGTCTGTTGGTACTTCCGCCACCGCCGTCCCCTCCTCCTCCTCCTCCTCCTCCTCTCGCGCTTGTAGTGACCCGTATCAAAGTAATCTCTCGCAAAGATTAAGAAAGTACTCACTGCCACCACCCATTTAATTGACGTATGGGAACGTTAGTGTTTGTGTTGTGAGATGGTAGTGTAAGGGAAGAGTGTGAGGAAAGGAGGGACAGTAGGTGTGAATGTGTGTGTGTGAAAGAGAGAGAGGAGGAGTGTAAGTGTAGTGTGCGAGAGTTCGGTAAGCGTGCCTTAGCCGAGAGGAGACGTGTGCGGGGGGAATAACTCCCCAAACGCAATATGATGCCGAGGATTTACTTCACTGCCTTAGTGGCTATCTACCGTTCAGCCGGCTTACACCCCTTAAGTACTCGTCCTCCCAATTGACAATGTATTAATTTGCGAGGGCATATGATAAAACCTTTTTCATAAATCTCGTTTATTAAAAAGAGATTAAAACACCAAATGAGTGACAGAACATGAAAAACACTAAAAGAATAAAATAACACGGAACAAAAACGTGAAAACACTAAAAGAACATAAAAACGTAAACCACACAAAAACAGAACATAAAAACATTAAAACACTAAAAGAATAGAACATGAAAACGTTAAAACACAAAGAACTAGAACCGTGAAAAACACGAACATTAAAAGAACTTCAATAAAAGCTAAGATAAACACTAAAAAAAACACTAAGAACACATGAGCTTTAGAATAAAAATTGACTTGAGGCACCGGTCTATTAGATCACTTCGTTTATCTACATTTGCATGAATTTCTCTCGATACCTTAACTTGGAAGATTCTTACGACCACTTAGCTGTTCTAGTACAGGAGGCCCATTCCGGGGTTCCTCAACAAGTGCTCCCTCCGACAACCCACAGCAAAATCCCCCTGTCACGCCTCCTTCGTTGTCTGAGGATAGTTCGTGGCGCGAACAATAATAACTCAGGCGTGGAAAGCCTTTTTTCATTAGAGTAAAAATTTTATCTTAAAATAATAAAAACATGGCAAAAATAAATGTGTAAAAGTAAAAACTAAAATAATAAATACAGAAGTTAAAAAGATAAAATGATAAAATTGCCTCCTTCTCATTGTTTTGTTCATTGTTATTTGTTTGCTCATTCTTGTTCTTGTGTGGGATATAAATGATAACTTAAAATAAAAACCTTTAATAATTGCTAAAACAAGTAGAAATACAATAAAAATGATAAAAGAGGAGGTAGGTAGGAGCCGCGTTTTCTTCTCCCCCCGTTTTCTATGCAGGCGTGGAGCCTCGGGGTAAGTGTTGCGCATCCTCACCCCCGGGAGATAAACGATCCGCCTTTCTTTCTAGGGTGACATTTTTCCAAGTTTTCTTAATATCCATATGCCTGTGGGAGAGTGAAAGTGAGAGGGAGTAGCAATTCACCGTCGTGGCGAGAACCGTGGTTCACGACACGCTCGCTCCTCCTCCTCCTCCTCCTCGCTCGTATGCCCTCCGATCGCATCGCCGGGTCTCTCCTCCTCCTCCTCCTCCTCGCTTTCCTCTGGCAGATGTTTAATGTCCGGATGACCGTACGCCAGCGATTTATAGGTGTTGATATACCAATGTTTATCGTCGTATAATGACAAACCACGTTTTTTGGTTGTTGTGGTAGCCATTTGACCATTAACGTTAGTAATACTAACCTGATTGAAGGTGTGGACCTCTTTCTGATGAAGAGTACGGCGGAACCTCTCGTGTTTGAGTTTTCTCTTTTCAGACCGGCAGATTCCTTTCGTACCTGAGGTGGATTGATTATTATTTAGGAGCAAGGAATATGTCTTTGGTTTTAAACATATAGCCTCTTTGATAGGAATTTCCCCTGTCTCGGATTTTAAAAGTCCGAGCTTCCCCTTCACCGATACATTATACAAGGGATGGTCATGGCTAAAATTAGAAGTGTCAATCCACTCGTTTAGAGGAGCAGTTGAAAAATCTTTATAAACATCGTCGGTCTCGACAGAGAGAATGTAACTATCCGTATCGGAGTAGCAGAGCTTTACCTTCTCTCCGTAGATCGGTTTTAACACTTTATAGAAAAAATAGTAAAGTTTATATTTAGCCAGTTCCAGAATGGTGAACCCGATATATTGTGGGTAGTTCATAGTCACTGTCTTTGCTCTTGAAATTGTTATAACACGGTTCGGGGCGAGGGGGATGAGCCTTTTGAAAAGAGGGTCCCGTATCTTTTTCAGAAATGTTGAGGTCTTGCACACCATGCTGGTCTTTTCCACTCTCTTCAGGGGGTTCATTAAACACCTGCCAAACACGCTGTTGGAAAGGGTCTTGAAGGAGAGCTGTTGAGCTTTATCGATAGCTTCGCGACGTGCTTTGATGTTTTCGTGAATAAACGGTTGAAGATAGCTATCCTGCGAGAATTCGTATACCTCGTGCACTTGGTCCACCACAACTCCCAAATGAATTAACAGCTGCAGGTGTTTCAGCAGAACGAGGTAATTCTCTTGAGGAAGATGAGATGCTACCAACTTTTTATTCTTCGGAGGAACACGTCTGTTTTGCGACAAAAGAAGCTCTTTGTTGTACGGCGAGAGGTCTTGGCTTCTTATCTCCATGTGATGGATAAGGAGAGGAAGCTCGTCGGTTTTCCTTGCCACATCGTCCGGCACGTGCAGATCAACCTCAACCCAGTGACCAATATCGTCGCTTTTCGTCTTTTCAGCGTCAGGTAGTTTCCGAATATTTCCATAGGAAAGTTTTTCTGACATCACTGTGGCATATAGACTGTTAAAATCCAGATAAAGAATGTATGTACTTTGTTCCTTTTCGGGGTTAAAACAGGGGTTAACAAGCGGGTTATTTGCCACTGTATGAGGTCGAACACACGTTGTAAGTCCACCTCTCACTGAACGTTCGATTTTGCGCGCCAACTCGCGGTCTGAGATGAGTTCTAATTGTGCTTTTGTCATCTTCAAAAATGCGTCGTAGGCGTATCCGGGCAGACTGACATAATTCACCATGTCGAGATCATACTTTTTGACAAGGGTAGACCTCCACTCGCTGAGCACATCAGCCAGCAAACCCACATCAGCACGAAGATAGCAGTCAGCATAGTCCCCGAGCGTGCGACACTCAGCAGCTTCCCATACCTTGAGGGCGTTGTCGTATTCCTCTTGTGTGACGGTGTCCCCCGTGAGAGAACTATAAAAATGTTCTATCGGGGGGAGGGAGGCATCTTCCAGCTTGTTCAGATTGTTAGGCCTCTTTCACACGAGACGATTTTAATCGTGACGGGAAAAATCGTCCGTGATATGCTCCTTTCACACGAGACGGTTTTAATCGTGCCGTGACACCTTCCCACGGTGCCCAGTGTCAGTTTGCACTTGCACTTGACATGGAGAGGTCACGCGTTATTGCGTTGTGTGTTTTGAATCGCCGGAGACGGCGACGACAAAGGAAGCGTTCCTGTTGGGTACATCCCATTAATCAAAAAAGAGACGAATTAAGTTCCTTTCACACCTTATTTACTGAACTAAGAGAAGACGAATCAAAATTTTTCAATTACTTCAGGATGAGCATTTCATCATTTGTAGCATTCCTGTCTTTGTATATGTCCTCTGTCTTGTCCCACAAAACAGGCCTCTCTTGCACCAAAGAAATTAGCCGATCAGTGTCAATCTCCTCGCCCATCGTTGCGCACACAACCTCACGCCACAGACGCAAGGAGACGACTAAAATCGTCCCATGTGAAAGCTCTCATAGGATGCTGTACACCACTGACGCACGGGCACGGGACGACGACCGTGTGTTGTAGTGAGTGCTCACGGGCGCAACACGGCTCCCGTCCCGTGATCGTGTCGTGTGAAAGCTCTCATAGCCTACTGTGTGCCACTGGCAAGACGATTTTTCCCGTCACGATTAAAATCGTCTCGTGTGAAAGAGGCCTTAAGGTATTCGTAAGGGAATATTCCTTTCCCTGTCAGGAGTAATCTCTGGGCTTCGGCGGGCAGGTGTTGCACGAGGTGAGATGAGTACTTCAACGGGTGACCACTCTCTATGTGCGTTCTGGCGAGGGAGCTCAAGCTGCCGCTCATAAATGCCATGCTATCCAGAAATTTCAGGTTGTTAATTTCCACAGCGTGGAACCTGAGTCCTTGTTTAACAAGCACGTTTATGTTCAGGTCACCTTCCATTTCTTTCAGCAACAACCCGAGATCGTAGGAATGGTTGTGTGCTATGCACGGCATTTTGGTGTGGTGGTTCCTCATTTGAATGCTACACCTCGCGCAGTATGCCCCGATGTAGTTGTTTCGTTGTTTCGTGTGGTCGTGGTGTCTGTGCTTCTGCTGTTGATCTGGAAACTTCTGATTACACATTTTGCACGTCTCTGTAGTGTTGTGTTTATGCTGGTCTTGGTCCGTCATGTGGAGAGGGTAGTAGGCCATGTTTTTTACAATATCCGACCATTTGGCAGACAGGCTCTCGATGAAGTGGGTTGCTGCATCAGCTCCTTTGTATGTAGAGCTATGTACGATGTCACCTCTTCTATCGGTGATGATGAAGCCGTAGGCAAATGCCTTGTGGTGTGATAAGCACCTGTTTCTAGCATTTGTTTGGTCCATATATGCCTCGAAGTCGTATATGCATATGTGTGATGGGCTGTATGCTTTCCCATAGTTAATAAAGCTGAGCTTGCTTCCGGGTGATGGTTATGTAATCTGAACGGGCGATTTACACTCTGCCATATGATTATCTGCCAGCATCTGGTTTGAGAAGGCCGAGAAACACGTACGACAGAAGTGTTTGTTTGGGGTTCTGCTTCTGTAAGAAAATGAGTCGACAAAACGGTTGAAGTCGGTGATGAGACATGCGTGTTCGTTTTCGAGCAGAAGCAGGTGAAGGAGCAGACATTTCTTGTTGTCTTCTTTTCCTCTTCGAACTTGTGTCAGAAAGTAGTAGTTGTTGTTGTTGTTGTTGGTGTTGCCCTGAGACGTGAACGGTTTTTGCAGACAGTAAACATATAGAGATTATTTTCCCTTTCCAATTCTCCCAGTGTTTCCCAGCTGGTTGGGAGTTTTTGCGCATCATACTTGATGTGCCGTGCACATTTAGTCTGCGTATCAACCTCTCTCGCAAGCCTCTTTTTGCATTTTCCGTCTGACAGCAGTTTTCCGGCGGCAAGGGATCTTATCACGCAATCCGTGTCCCCAACAGGGTTAAAGATGTACCTCTTCCCTCTTGCCTTTGCTGGGAAGGGAATGTATTTCCCTATGGCTTGAGGGACAAGAATTCGTGATATGGTGATGTCGTGCGATGCAATGGCGTCGAGATCGAGTCCGCTCCCCTCGTCGGTGATCCACTCTTCCAGCCGGGCGTCCACCTCCTCGCTCCACCCTCGCACGGTTCTTCTGCATTCCGCCTCTGAAGTAATGATATAGCTGTGAAGGGTTACACTTTTTTCTATGTTTCTTACTTCTCCCGTCGCGAGGTCGGTTCTGCTGAGAATGAGGGTGAATCCCATAAACGTCTTGACAGCAGGAGGAGGACACCCGAGAGTGCAACGATGGGTTTGGAGGATTTCAGCGAAATAATCTTCGTTTCTGCGAAGGTATTCGACGGGATCGGGCTGATCGCAACCTGGGATGCTAAAACCCAGCCTTATGCACGCTCCATGGAATAGCTCATTACAGGAAATAATGTGAGGTGATACCGCATCGTCATCGTCGTTATCGCCATTGCTGTCTTCACTGTCTTCGCTGGTGCTGTCTCCGAGCTTAATTCCGCAGGTGTGAACTCGTTCCTGTTGACATCGGGAGGGCCCAGGGCGCGGCGAGGGAGGCCTAGAGCGAGGGCGTGACGGCCCCGGCTGAGGTGATGGAGCTCTCTGACCGGCGAGAGGGTTTGGTTGCAGCGGGACTTCGCCAACTTCAGGATGAGACGGTGCTGGGTGTGCATTCCCTGCAGTGAAAAATAGATCGTTTATCATTATAAAAATCGGAATCAATATTGCTATTAATGATGTTAATTTACATATATTTACATACTTTGTTGGATGCTTACCTTGTAAGGAGGATTGAGGAGCGATCTTAACACCTTTAGACGCCTTTCCTGCACCGCCTGCAAGAATTCGAACAAAATATCATATTTACTTTGGTGTCATACTTAAATAGACTGTAATAGCATTATAAACAAACGGATTTGTTATATGTTTTACACTTGATATGATTTATCTTACCTTGGTAACAGCGTTGTCGGTGGTGGTGAAGTCTTGTTGTAGGAACGTAAAGATTGCACTTTGGGCAGAGCAAGCAAAGGTGGTTTTGGACTTGCTTTTGACCGCAGTATTGACAGAAGCAATCAGTTCGAGCCATGGTAATCACTTTCACAGAGGAGGCGATGCTAATGTTTGGTCAGATGAACTAAAGGGGGAGGAGGAGGAGGGTTCCTTAGGTAAAGGAGGGGAAGAGAAGCTATGGTAGCTAGCTACCTAGAAATTGAAAAAAAGAGATAAGTAATAAAGATGGGGGGCGAGACCCCATGCGTGGTGTTTTCTTTGTTTTCTGGTTGGGAGGGTGGTTGTTGAACATCTTGTTGCTGGATGAGAGGCCAGGTGGACAGGAGACACCTTTTATTTTTATTTTTTGTTGAAAATAGCGTCAGTGCTCGAGAAGGACATGAGAAGACATGTGTGCTAACGTAGCAAAGGTCGAGTGACATAAAAAATGCGGGCGCAAACATGAAGATACACATAGGAATGCATATCTATATACACATACACACATACACATGCACACACCTGCATGTACACATACATACGTATGCGTACCTATGCACTATATATATATAAATATATATATATATATATTTTTTTTTTTTTTTTCGCCTGCTAGGGATTATCATAGTAGGTGTGGCCCGCTATGATATCCTATTGCAGGTGAGACCCTCGCCTGCCTCCCTTCCAGCTCCTAGGAGCTGAGAGCGAGGTTCAGTGGGTCACTCTTTTGGTGAACAGCACGAGATATACATGTACAAAACATAACATAGATAAAAAGGAACAAAAAAAAACATGGTGATAATAAGACCGAACGGGAAAGATAATAGTTAGAAAAAACAAGAAAAACAGAGGAAAACGGAAGAAAATGGGAGGGGTGACTGAGAGTGAGAGGAGGTGAGAAAGCAAGAGAGAGAGGAGGGGGGGGAGGAGGAGTAGGGAAAAGGGGGAGAAGAGGGAAGAAGGAAAAAGGAAGAGAGAGAGAAGGAAAAGGGGAGGAGGGAGCAAGTAAAGGTGAGTAGATGATGTGGTGGAAACGAGAGGAGTATATACATACATGAATAATGGTGAATAATGGGGTGAAGAAAGGTAAGTAAGCAAGCAAGCAAGTGGGCACCCAAGCAGTCAAGGCAATGGTGAACAGGTACGTATAAAACAAAACAAAAATCAAACAAAAGAACAGGAACAGAGCATAAGACAAAGTAAACAGTGCGGTAAGAATGTAAACATAAATTATCGTGCGAGGGTGTGTCAACAAGGGTACGAATGAGTGAACAGGGTACATGATATGACATAATAACAAGGGAAATGGGTTAGGCTATTTTATTATTTTTTTTTTTTGAGTGTTTTTTTTTTTCTCCTTTTTCCGTAGAACATCTCCATCTTGCTCGTCCTTTGATTCGCGTGTCTGCCTTATGCAATTGCACGTGTGCACTTCCATAATCACAGGCAATCGGATCAGAGTCCGTAGCAAGTTTGTAAGATGTTCTGTCCTTGATATCTCTCCGTCTACAGTTCGTCAGTGCTGATCCCACGACCACTAGGCGGGCCGAGGCGGGTAAAGTGACTAGCCGTGGTAACAGCGCTTTCGAATGTTTAGCTTCGAGAGACGGCAAGGTGGCCAGCCCTCTCTCCCCCGTGATTGGCTAATCCGCGCCGCACGCACTGGAGCTGGCAGTACCGATGCTCAGTACTGTAATGGTGTGCTGCGTGGGTTAGCCAATCCTTTGGGGATTCTGAGGGTGACTTCTGATTTTATTATTTTTTTTTTCTAATAGCCTTGAACAGGACGTGACAACAAAAATAATATAGTATGTCCAGCGCATAGACTCATAAGGAATGTAGGATGTGATGACTAATGTTTGGACATGTCAAAATCCCTCTTTATATACCGGAGGATGGGCTTTGTGAGAGGTTACAGTTGTGGTACTTTGTGTATGTTCGTTTATCATCTGTGTCTGATATACAGATATGCAGATAGACATCCCTCAAAATACCTTTTTGTTTTGAACTAATATAACATACCAGATAGAGAGGCAGTCGCACGGGATTATGTTACAGTGTGTGTGTGTGTGTGTGTGTGTGTGTGTGTGTGTGTGTGTGTGCGGGTATGAGCGAAATTATCATCTGTGTGTGATATGTAGATAGACATAGAGAGATACATCTCTGAAAAAAACTTTTTGTGTTTAACTGTTATACCACCTTGGGGGGGGGGGGACTATTTAGTGGTTTTGGCATGAGTTGACACCCTGTAACATAATCCCGTGCTGTCGCACGGGATTATGTTACAGGGGGCTCGGGAATTTGTATATGATTATCTGTACCTCCTGCAGGCGACAGATAGAGAGGCTGTCGCACGGGATTATGTTACAGGGGGCTCGGGAATTTGTATATGATTATCTGTACCTCCTGCAGGCGT